ATGAGAAGCCGTAGGAGGGAAGCAACCTTGAAGGTTGTGCACAGATAGTTGATTGTGTCTGTAAGAAGCTTTTTCTAGTCAAGGACCTCGCAGCTTTAAGCTATTTGGCTCTTGGCTAGAAAACAGCTTCTTGCAGGCACAAACCTCACAAAGTAGTGGCCAGTATATATGTCATTATAATAAGCACTCTCTCTTGTAGCACCAAATTGGATTTGTCTAAAATGTAGCAGCTAAGTGACTTTTTTTGTGTGAGACCCAGTCACTTTCTGTAACCAAGAATAATTTGAAGTGCTGTGCTTAAGTGAGAGGCTGAGGAACCTTAAAGAATCTGGACCTTCCCCACCTACATTTCCATGAGGTATTTCTTTGCCACCAAAAGTAGGAGACTTCAGAATAGCTCTATTTCAAAATGTTCAGTGCCTTAGCTTCGCCTTTCAAGATACGGTGCTGTGTTCTTTTATCCTCACTTGCATTGTGGTTCTGTATATACTCCCAAAAGTCACAGATAAAAAGCAGAACATGTGGCCAGGTAATATCAGACTATGGTCAAGGTAGCAAAAGATATTAAGGAAGAAGAACCTTCAAGCTAAGAAAGGTACAGCAGATTGCTTTCACCTGAGCCAACAGGTAAAGCAATCTGATTTTCTTGCCTGCCTCTTCCACTTCTCTCTGCCTCTTTCACTTCTCTGCTGCCACTGAGGGCCTTTCCACACAGTCATATAACCCAGAATATCAAGGCAAAAAATCCCACAATATCTGCTTTGAATTGGGTTATCTGAATCCACACTGCCATATATTCCAGTTCAAAGCAGAAAATGAGGGATTTTATTCAGTTGTGTGGAAGAGGCCTGAGTTAATTGAACACAAATTGTTTTGCACTTTGAATGCAAGTTACAGCAAGTGAAGTAAGTAAAGATAAAGGGGGGAGTAGAAGGAAGAGATAGAATTTGGGACAATTTTTAAAGTGGTTAAAAATGTCAGTTGACAAAGGATGCTGGTCTGCCCCTGCCAAACTGGATAACTGGAAGATATGTTTTTGCCACAACACATTCTGTGCAAAATTTGAAGGAAATGTGGCCCAGCAGCTAAGAACAGCCCAACCACAGGGTGAAGCACCAGAAAAACATTTTTTTCAGGCACTGTAAGATTCATTTCCCCACCAAATTAATCCCAAATCCCCAAATAATCTAAACTCACTGATATTCTGGGATATTTGTAAAATCCCATCTTCTTTTATATTATCTTTTAGATTATGTTCCTGAGAAATGACATAACCCGGAAGAAGGTGGCTGGTGAACTAAAAAACTGAACAATAGCCCATCTTGTTTGCCAGTTCACCTGACTTCCAAATTACTCAAGTTGTTTAAGAAGATTGGTGTAAAGAATGTGTGTCATTCAGCAGCTTGCATTGTCTTGAGTTTATACCACTGCACCTGTTTTGTAACTTTTGTTATCTGCAACAAATGCCATGGATTAAGTTGGCCCAAAGAAAAAGGCAAAGGATGCTAACATTGTATTGCACATTTATAGGGGCATCAGAGACGTAATCAACAATATCCTACAATATAATCCTATGTAATTTACTCAAAAGTAAATCTCTCTGCTAAAATAAATGTTGTCATACTATAAGTATTTGGTTTTACTGTATAATTTTTCTTTTCAAGATTTCAAATCTAGTATGCAGTTAGAAGTATTTTGTATCCAAGAATGTGATTCATTATAAGAATTTTAAATTTGAATTAATTTGCAGGAGTCCAGAAACATAACTTCATAGAAAATGTTTACAATTTTTGAACTTTTGTCAAAAACAATTGAAAAAGTTAGCAATGTCACTTGAAGTATCTTTTTGCCAGGAAGTTGCTAAAAACTTGAAAGAAATATACTGATGTAGCATAACCTTATATCTTTATCTATATATATCCCAAAGGTTTAAAATGATTCTGAGTTGAAGAATGTGTGATGCATCAAATGAGGTTGGACTCCAGAACCCATTAGCTTTAGCTAGCCTCACTAATGATGAATGATGTTGTGAGTCACCGTGTGTCAATTACAGTGTGGCCACATGTTCTCCAGTAGTAGAATAACAGGGAGGCCAAAAAGGCTGGGTTTAAAGTGTTTTGTTGATGGGAAGTGATAGGCAGAAATTGCATTTGTGTTTGGCTTTATGCATGTTGGATGCTTCCATAGTACAGCTGGTAAAAACCACTTTTCAGACTGCAGTTGTCAGAATCCTACCACTAGCATGGGTACTGGCCATGCTGGCTAGGCAATTCTATGTGCTTTATTCCCAAAATAATATTTTCATGCTCTTGAATTTAATGAGTCATGGGGAGCTTCATTACAGCTGATTTGATGGTTGTGGCTTCCACATCTAATACTCATTACTCGCCAAGCTGAAATGGCCACTTAGTCACACTAGTTCTGGAATTCCATAGTCAGTGAAGCCTTTGAGAGAATTGTACCAACCTATTTCAATCGCTGAAAAAGAAATCCCCAAGGACAAGATCAAAAATATACCAGCACTTCTAACAACAAAACATTATGAAACAAGAGGAAAGGGAAAGAGGAACTACACTAAGTCTCGTGGTTACCCTGACAGGAAATATGCTGTTCACAGATTTGGTTTCAAGAAGAAACATGTGGAATCATCATAGAAGATGTTTCCATTGTTACACTTCAATATTTTGGATGTGTCTAGAGCAGAAGTGACCAGAAATACAGATGTGAGTCTTTGAAAACAAGGCTGCAGTGTGGCATTCTGTAAAGACCTTGGCATTTTCTCGAGTAGTACATCTAGTGGGCATAGTTGGATTGCAAAAATCTCCACCAAGTTTCTCCAAACCATTCTGGACACTGTTTTCCCCCCAAAATGGAGTAAGAGAAAGGAGCTTAATGTACAAGAGACTGAAGTAGCTCAGTTCTCAACTTACATCCCTCTAACATTTCTCAAATGGAATTCAGGACACATGTGACCAAGCAACATCAGAAAGTGAGTAAGGGCAAAAGTTATGAATGAGGAGAATGGCTATGTTAGGAGAGGCGGCAGCAGTTTGTTTTCATCCGAGTCTAAGGGGGAAAACAAGCTTTCTCTACTGATTGAATTGAGTTCAAATGACTGCAATTTGAACTTAGTTTGCAGCAACTGAAGTAAGCTGAAGAAGTAAAGTGGAAGGAGGAGAGAGAAACTGAGATCGTTTTGTGGTTCAATTACTTTAATAACTGGTTTGTTCAAGCAAAATTATGGTGTTTTAAATGCTAATTTTTACAGCAGATATTTTTCCTACTGGTTTTAAATTTATTTTCCTAGGAGCATGCTTACAGTTTGCATTCATTTCTGCTTTTTATCTCTCATTCATGTTGAGAGGCTAAACATGTATGAAATGTAAAGTGGAATTCAAGAAAGTTCAACCACACATTTGAGATAGGATGCTAATTGTCCAAAAAATATCACCTCACATTTGTTTGTAATGTTGAGCTGACAGATTTGTTCCTGAATTATTGCAGGACTCAGACGACAGATTTGCCAATAGCACTCCAGAGTCAAGGCTGGTGGAAAATGCCAGCTTGGTTAAAGTGTAAGCTGGCCATATGCCCAAGGATTACATGAAAAGCCAGTCATTTGCATATGATGATCTTCATCTTGTTTGTCCATTCCTAGGGAACTCCTTCATTTGAAGGATCAGAGGAAGCAAGCAATGCATTATAGTTTTATTTATCCAATTCTACTTATTTAAACATATAATTCCAATTTATGACTGTAATCCTCCGGATGATTTATGCCACTGAACTCAGAAGTTACACCACTATAATTACATTTTCAGAACTTGTGTACTTTCTTGGGCAACAGTACCCTCTCCTCCCACAAGCAATGCAATGGCAGCCGGACACCAAGACCCAGCTGTGACTAATCCCACCTGCCCACCCCACAACCATTGATTGACTGGGATGCAGAGGGAGGCCTCTCTCGCACTATTACCAGGTTGCCAGCTGTCACCCTTCTGCATGCATAAGTATGAAGGTGGAATTTATTATCTGCCAGCATCAAATAGATCTCAGCCACAGTCTCCATGAAAGTCATTGGTGATGCTGACAGTTTCCCTTTCAGGGTCATGTATACAAAGAAATTGCTGTATATTTTCACTAGGAGGAGATAAATCTTTCAAAATGTTGCAGTCCCAATCCTGGTCAGCAAATTCCAACACACATACGTGGCTATTTAAAATCCTCTCAAAGAGAAGAAAAGAGCACCACAAACTGATTCCACTCTTGATTTTCAGAATTTTGGTGTGAAAAGAATAAAGCACAGGACCCTTATGTATTCTGTTAAGAAATCTTGGTGTGTAATGTTTACTTGTTCTTAATAGAAGCTACCAGTGAGGTTCTTCTTTAAAGGTAAAAGTGTAGGTGTTTCTGTAGTCATGGCGTTCATTGCATTGAGTAGATGCCGTGAAGCATTTACAAGAGTGAAGATGCATTGTCAAATTACACACATTTATTTATTTATTTATTTTTAAGCATTTGTATCCTGTCCTTCCCAACCCCCAAAGGGGGACTCAGGTTGGCCGTCGTTAGATGCTGACAAAGAAACAGTCAGAGCACAACAATTAACATAAATGGGTCAACAGCAATAAAAAGACATTAAAAGGCAATAAAATACATTAAAACTTGCAAATATATGCATATATCCAGGAAGCAGTCTGAAATACGTTCACAAAAAATCCCTTCTCCAGGATGCATATGGCTGAAACAATATTTAAAATATGAGTTTTCCATTTGACATGTGTAGACACTGATCTACCATAACTAACTTTAGATGTAATCCATGATGTGGATAAATGGGCCAAAAATTTGGTCTCCAGATTGCCCACTGACTGAGCAATACTTGTAACCCCTCCCCCATTTTCTTCCTTTTCTTTAAGCTATCTCAACAATTATTGCAGCCATTTTAGAAGAATTTGAAGCCAAAGCAATGAAGCTGAACAGTTCACAAATCTTCTTACCTTTCTGTTTCAGCCAGATCACCTTCCTCCACACCCATGTCACTCTCAGGGTCTCTCACACATTCCTCCACATGATCAGCCATGTTTTTCACTTCTTCGGAGTGTAATTCAGTTAATTTTCTTTCAAACTGTTTTGCAAGAACACAAGAGTGTGCAGTTGCTTTCTCCACACTCTTCCTGTATTGACTCTAAAGTCAGCGGTACCGGAAACCATGTGAAACTCTGGGTGTGAGCCTTGGGGTTTTTTTTACTCACAAAGAAAAAGGAAACTTAGATGAGAGTCAATCCCACAAAGTAGTAATGCAGGGCACAAGGGGAACAAAGGGTAATTCCAGCTCACAGAACAATCTTTTCTCCTTAAGTCCAGCTGAATCTCACAAGGTTGCAGCAGTACATCTGTAGCTGCATGTAAGGATCCCTCCCATTCTCTTTTCTCATCTTATCTGTATTTTGTCTACATTATGGTCCTTACTGCAAATAACAGGGCTGAGAGATTGGACAGTTGCAACACAACTTAGCAAGTATCCACAAGCAACATATTTGAAGTGACGAAAGAAGGCTCAAAGTCCTTAGCCTCGAAACCACACACAGAGAAGCAAAAATGGACTTAGAAGACATCCATCGGAGAGCAGGGAGCGCCTTACATTAACACTAATGGCACAGTTAATATGCTGTAAAAAAGGATCTGGCCTGTCAGTAGATAAGCAAGGCAGGGAGGTGATTTTGAGAATCATGAAAGGGCAACACAATACTATTTAATCTGATATGAATGGATTGGGGGGGGGAGGTTGAATTTATTAACAAATGTTGGATGTTAAATACTTTGGCAGCAATGCATTGACAACTTGGCTTGTGTAATGTGATGATGATGTTTTTATTGTACTTATATTTTAATGTGTAATGATGATGCACTGTGCTGTTTTGTATATTACTGTATATGAACACATGTTGTGAACTGGCCTGAGTCCCTCCTTGGAGGTGAGAAGACCGGTATATAAAACTTCTAAATAAATAAATAAATAAATACTATTCCACCTCAGGCATGACAATCCATTTGGAACCAGCCTTGTGAAAACATGCAGGATTGGTTTTTTTTTTTGTTTTTTGGTTTTTTTTTTTTGGTTTGTTTTTTTGCCAAATCCAATAATTTATCTAGTGAGATTTCTTTAGGAATAAAGGCCATCCACTTTATAAGAATAGCTGAAGTTTTATCTGGCCATCACTGTAATGCATAAACTCTTTCTTTGTAAACCATCTCAGGATTTCTTCCTACAATTACTTCTCTTACTAAACATGCACACATGCACTGAAGTCCTCCACCTTCTAGATCATTCATGGATAGCAAACCCACAGCACTCCAACTCTCCAGGGGGGCTACCATTACTTTCAAAAGGCACAAGACTGCATCCTTTCCACCAATCTGGCATAATAAATTGGATTATAAATAAGACATGCCTAGATATTTCCTAATGATGTGGAATGCACATATGCTGACACTTCTCCAGCTTGCTTTGCTTTTTCCCATGCCACATATATTGACAATTTATCAGGACAGAAACAATCTCGATAGGTTGAAGAGTCTTCACTTGACAAGTCAACTTGAAGCTCTGTACATGCTATCCAGGAATGGCTATTAATGGTCCATTTCCTTAGAAGTATGGTACATTTTATCTGCAGCTCCAATTATTTTTACAAGTCTTTTATCCTAGGATACAAAACTGAGGTGGGGAAGTGGAGATATAGTTACAATGATTTGTGCCTACATTGGTTTCTACCAAAGAAAAAGAAATGAGGGAGTTGTGTGGCAACTACACACACCAGTTCACCACTTCCTTTATCCTCTTCTCCTGTGTCTTAATATCTCCTACTCAAGTTTCTGAACCCTGCTCATGCATGAAGCAACTCCTCTGAAGCAAGAAGGCCATTTCTGAAGATATCTCAGGTAGTTTTGAGTATAGATATTTCTTTTTCTCAAAAGCCAGGAATAGTTCCTATTCTATGTAATGGCACCACAAATATAGACGATACATAGATTGCTCTGGAGATGCTTACCAGGCAAAATCCTTAATGATTTTCCACCATGATTGTTCACTTCCCATTTATCAGACATCCCAAGGAAACCATTTAGCCATGTTTTGCCACCTTGTGTGAGAGTCTGCAGATTTGCAACATTTTATAATATTTGTTTATTTACAAACATACATATAGTGCTTCTACAGTGCCATAGCTATAGTATTTTTAAAATATGTATCTATATGTATAGTTACTAGTACATATTGTTAAGTAATACAAGTTTTCTCTCTCTCTCTCTCTCTATATATATATATAGTGTGCAAATTTAGACAAAACTATAATTATATATCTGTTTTGTGGATAAAGCCAAGATGAAAATCTAGATATTGGGTCTGCTTAGGCTGCAAATTCAGTGAACTATATAACATTTTCTCTATTATTGAAGGAAAATGTGTGTATACCATTTTGTTTTGTTTTGTTTCTGGAAAACACTTTTCTCCATGGTAGCAAAGAATAGTGCCAATAAGGATGATACAGTAATATTTGCATAGGCTCTCTATGAGCCCTTCCGCACAGCCCTATATCCCAAAATACAGTATCAAGGCAGAAAATCCCACATTATCTGAGTGTGGACTCAGATAACCCAGTTCAAAGCAGATTTGTGGGATATTCTGCCTTGATATTCTGGGATAGAGGGTTGTGTGGAAAGGCCTTCTTACAATAACAGTGTATTGGTTCATAGGGCTTTTCATGAACCTGGCCAGGATATCCCACTTTGGTGGTCACTTTTCCTCTTTCATAAACAGTACGAAAATCTTAAGAACCACAGATCTCTTTGAAATACTTTCCTTGCCTATGTTCTCCTTGTAGTCTGAGTGTACAGTGTACTGTCTGAGAGTTGACTGTAATGGCAGAACATACTGCAGGGATAGATATCATCTTGAAAACAGATGTTGCTTTGTTTCATTGAATTTTCACAATTGAGTGGTTTTATCATACCAAGCGTGATACAGATCTTTCAGATAGCACTGTGGTATGCTCAAGGATAAATATTGGGCCATCTATTACTGCCAGAAATGCAGTTGCGATCTATTTTCAATTTATTCCAAGTGAACATTCACTGTCTTTCAATGAAGAAAAAGGTCATGGCTAACCCAGAAGTTGTGGAACTCTGTGCTTGACTGTGCCCAAACAAAATATTGGACCACACGGAGTGAACACTCTCCTATGTACATTTTTGAGGAAATGTTACTTTTGTTATAAGAATTCAAGCAGTTTCCAAAATATGATAATCCTAAAGAAAACTTATCATGGGTCTTTCCTGGCAATATTTTTTTTCAGAAGAAGTTTGACTTTGACTTCATCTAAGGCTGAGAGTGGGACTTTCCACAAGGTCACCCAGTAGGTTTCTATGGTTTTCTTCCCTAATTACCATTCACCCTCCATTTCTTGTCATCTAGAAGTTATATTCAATGTTTTCTCAACATATGGTAAGCCTTTTTCTTCATGGTACATTGATTGAAAGCTGATCTCATCCTTTATCCTGGAGGATCACTGCTTACAATAATCATGTCAAGAAAATGGGGCAGCAGGGGAACTCTAGAAGATTGACATATTTATTTTAGCATGAGTTGTCATAGATTACAATCCTGTATTGTATAATCTTGTGTTCACCCACCCCTTTATTTATGCTGAAACAGAGCTGGTCCTTTAAAAGTGGCTAGAATATCCAGATAATTGCAATATTGGTTGACATGTCGATGTGTCAGGTTTCATACTTCTAAAGAAAGTCCACACATTTAGAGTTGACCATTCCGCCAGTTCAGAACATTCCTGAAAAATCCCCAGTCATTAACTTTCCTTTCACTTGATAAATGATAAGGCCAGACCAACATTCAAAATTGTGCTAAATATGCTTGGAGGGATTCATCTCAGGAGTGGATGGTCACTGGTGCTACATCTAATTTTCTCTTCTTGTTGTTAATAGTATTTACATTTCATATTTGATAATTATTTTATACTTAGTTTCACAAAATCTTATGGAATTATTTTAATGTTTCAGAGACCATTTCAGGTATCAATTGATAATGAGGCAACTCATCCTTTTCAAAACTAGATAATCACTTCCTCATACATGAAAACCATTTGTTACATAGGCCTCTTTCACTTTCATAAATAGTCCCAGCATGGTACAGTGGTTTGAGCATTGAGCTACGACTCTGGATAACAGGGTTTGAATCCTTGCCCAGCTATGAAGCAGTCTTGAGCAACTCACTCTTGTATCCAGAAAATCCCACCAATTTACCAGCTGTTAGGATTTCTGGGAGTTGAAGGCCAAAACATCTGGGGGCCCACAGGTTGAGAACCACTGCCTTAGGGTCACCATAAGTTGAAATCGACTTAATGAGACACAATAACAAAGCCCCCGGTGGCGCAGTGGGTTAAACCCCTGTGCTGGCAGGACTGAAGACTGACAGGTCGCAGGTTCGAATCCTGGGAGAGGCAGATGAGCTCCCTCTATCAGCTCTAGCTCCTCATGCGGGGACATGAGAGAAGCCTCCCACAAGGATGATAAAAATGATAAAAACATCAAATCATCTGGGTGTCCCCTGGGCAATGTCCTTGCAGACAGCCAATTCTCTCACACCAGAAGTGACTTGCAGTTTCTCAAGTCGCTCCTGACACGACCAAAAAAAAAAGCTTCATAAATAAAAACTCACAGTTTGTGTCAGTTACATGCAGAGTGAGAGTGGAGAAACAGAATGAGGAAGTTGTCCATATTACCTCATAGTCCAGTCAAGACATATTCACATTCTTCAAGGAGGGCCAGAAAGAAGAACACTGAGGAATTCAGGACAAAGGGGTGAAGATATTCATTACTCACTTGACAGGACTGAACATGTTTTTTACCACTGGACAGAGTCCACATTGCACATTGATTAAGAATGAGAAGGATATTTGGAAGCATTTGAAAATTGTCCTGTGGTGGAATACTTTTATTAGGACTGTCAGGGCCCTGCCACCCTGCTATATAACCCAGAATATCAAGGCAGAAAATCCCACAATATCTGTTTCGAACTGGGTTATCTGAGTCCACACTGCCATCAGGCCCGTAGCCAGGATTTCGTTTCGGGGGGGGGGGGGGGGGAAAATTTCAAGGGGGGTTTCGGGAGGGTCTAGCCTAGAAAACCTTTTGTATCATTACCTCAATACCCATGCATATGGGATATATTGAGTATGGTGATCAGATCATGATATGAATAAACATAACAGTTTAAATAATGCACCAGTAAGGCCTTTTCGCAAACCACCATGAGAATTTCGGGGGGGGGGGCTGAAGCCCCTCAAGCCCCCCCCCCCCCCCCGGCTACATGCCTGACTGCCATATAATAGTACAAAGCAGATATTGCGGGATTTCCTGCCTTAGGTTATGTGAAAGGTCTCACAAAAATACCATATTTCATTGATTCTAAGATACTATCAACTATAAGATGCACACTAATTTCAGTACTATCAATGTCAAAAAAAACTTTTTATTTAAATAAAAAAACATTTGCGATCCTAAGATGCACCCCATTTTTAATATGTTGATCTGGGGAGAAGACATCGAAGGGCCCTTCCACACAGCCCTATATCCCAGAATATCAAGGCGGATATTCTGATATTGTGGGATTTTCTGCCTTGATATTCTGGGATATAGGGCTGTGTGGAAGGGCCCTTAGAGTGGATGAAATATAGTATTACAAAAACATGTGCTTGAGGTTTCCCAAACTCCTTGTCAACCAAGGGGTTTTTGACATTTTAGGAAAGAGAAAGAAAAAGCTTTAGAAATAAGACTAAATATTGCAGCCATGAAGTCTTCAGTTGGCCTCAAGATGGAGATTGTAGACTGATTCAGTTTCTGATAAGTGTGCAAGTTTCAAATAACCCCAGCAATGCATTCTGGGGTGGTTAGTCTCTATTTCTTCATATAAGCTGCAGCTCAGAGATCTAATTGATGGTTTGAGTGAGATATGTTGGTTCCTGGGTCAATACAGACCAGG